TTATAGATTACGCTGTCGATTCTTTTTGAGTACTATCGACGTAAAAGATCGATATTGGCAAATATATCGAGCTAAAAAATCGATACCAAAAGTACTCACTATCGACCGCAAAGTATCGATATTTACTCAGTACTCGATATTTCGTTCTAACACTATTCACAACAGCAGTATCTTTAACATAATTTCTGTCTATAACCGTTGCCTAGTAACGTTGGAAACTGATTTCTTAACAACTTCTGACCTCAAAAATTTCTTAACAACTTCTGACCTCAAAAATTTCTGCCGTATTTTACGAATAGAACATGTCCTATTGGGCAATAGATGAATTGTTTTGTGGCCGATACTTTCTGTGTCCAATGAGAAAGCTGTATTTTGTCACGTAAATATCAATGTGTACTTGATTCATGTACTTTGCAAGCATTCAGTTTTTATTTTATCGAATAGCTATTGTGTATATATAGCAATGTAAAAAAACGATTAGATTTTGGGAAACGCAGATCAGTAATTTTAAAATATTCACATTTCCAAAAAAAATCAAATATGGATTTTTTTCAAATTTTCGTAATTTTATCTGAAATATCAATTGAGTACATTTTATGTACTTATATTTTAGAAAATGCCTACTTACTCCTTGTTTCTCGGGAACTCTCATCATATTTATGCCTCCGAACCCTGTCTTTCATATTTTCTCTAGTTAGTTCACATGTAAGGCGTCGGCGGCTTTTTCCTATTGAGAACATATCTAAAACCGACTCCTCCACACTATATTGGAAACATATATATATGTATATATATAAATAAAATATGTTGTTGCTTATGCAATAAGTATTTAATATGAGTATATACTTGCTAACTATATCTGAATCTTTAAATTCAAGTGGCAATTTTTTTGAATTTGGGTACATTACAGGCTCTACATCGCCACTTTTTCTAGGATCAATGCACGGTATTTTCTCGGGTCTAACCCACTTAATTTTTAAATCACTTTTAAACGTTCTCGTACTGGGTATAAAACGTTTGATTAGGGAGACATTTCCTTGGCAGGCAAATCTATATATTGTGTTCATAGCTCAAACTTTAACTCAATGTCTATTAGTATTTAAAGATTGTATTTTGTGTTAAGATAACCTCAAAAATAATAATTTTGATAGCACATAAATGACACATGACAGCATGACCACACTGAAGAAAGCAAAGCAAACGCACAAGTCACCAACCATGAAACAACCCACCAATCCTAAATGATTTGAGAAGTTTGTTCAGTTTGGCACCATGACATATTAATGACATTTGCATTGTTAGATGACTCTCAGGTCTGTTTTTTCGGAAAGATTTAAATCAAAATCCGTTTGTTTTAACATTAATATGCATTTATATAACCATCATTATTATAATACTTAATATGAGTTATACTCCAATCCATGTGCTTTGTAAATTTATTTTTTATTATTATATTAACAACATTCAGAACTTAAACAGTGCTTAAACAGAGTTTATAAAGCAATGACAAAATACCATTGTAATATGATACTTTTACAGTTAGTTGTACATATGTTGACACTTTGTGATAAATATTTCTTAAGAAAGTGAATCATTTATATTCTAGACACACAACTGAAAATTAAAAATTTGTTTATTTCTTTTGTTCGCTGTTTTGTGATTAAAAAAATATATATTACCATAGTGAGCATGCTTATATAAGCATATTATATATATATATATATATATATATATATATATATATATATCATTATAGATATATATATATATCTATGATGGTGAGCATCTTTATATCATAGACTTAATATAAAGCAAAACAAGACCTGTACTAATTGTAAGCAACAAGCAACAACATATATCAAATATATATATATATATATATATATATATATATATATATATATATATATATATATATATATATAGAATTTTGTGATATGAGTGGAACGAATATTAAATGTTAAATATGAACAATACAACACTCAGATTTTTAACACACACTTTATTTGATGATTACAGACGTTTCGAGACCATGGTATGCTTCATCTTCAGTGTAATTTCAAAACAGTTACTTATATGTATTAAAAAATGTGTAGTATATAAGTAACTGTTTTGAAATTACACTGAAGATGAGGCATACCATGGTCTCGAAACGTCTGTAATTACCAAATAAAGTGTGTGTTAAAAATCTGAATGTTCTATTGTTTATATTTAACATTTAATATACAGTAGAACCTCGATTATCCGGACCTCGGTTATACGGATTCGTGATTATCCGGACTACTAACCACGACTAATTTATATGCATGTACATACCTACAATTCGAATTTTTGCAAGATTAATCCTGCAGTATAGTATATGTATGTAATGTAATCTAAGAAAATATATATGTACATACATAATTTTGAATTTCTTAATAAACATTATTTTTGTTGATATCTATGTATGTATTTGTTATTTTTTAAAAATACACAACATTATTCTTCATACTTTCAATTATCGATGCCTGTCGACAACAATTAGTCCGGTTAATCGAGATTCTACTTTATACATATATATATATATATATATATTATATATAAATATATATATATATATATATATATATATATATATATGCATGTATGTATGTGTATAAACATTCGATACAAAGTATGCATTCATATTTATAGTTATATATTTGTACTATATTTACAAGCGCATATAAAGTTATATTTCATATATACTATTGAATATTATACCATACTTGATATATCAAATAAAATTTTATTTTATTGTTTTTAGTTAAGTATAAATGTAGTGTTAGAGCTTCAGTAAGAGTGAGAGTTCATTTGTTCTTAAGTGCTCGTCATCAAGGTGAAAACGAAAAGAGTTGAGAGAAAGAGTAGAGTCCACAGAAGAGGAGGTATTTTCAGTGAAAGGAGTGCTGAGACAATAACTAGGTATATTCATAATACTTTATAAAGTTTTGCATTCTTGATTTAGTTCTTCTTCTGATAAAAAGAAGGGCACCATCAATTGAACAAAATCATATACTTCACATTCATCTTCATTTTCATGTATATGTACTACTTCTAACGGCTCATCAGCTGAGGTTTTCAATAAAATCTGTATATAAATTGAACATGTATATATATATATATATATATATATATATATATATATATATATGATTGAATTCTTGGAGGGCGTAACATCAAGTAAAAAATATTGAAGTAGAGATTTTTGCAACATATTTATGGATTCTACTCTTTATTTAGTTTAAAATTAATTTTTTTTTATCCCAACATTAAAAATACAAATAACACATATAAGCAGTTATTTTTATAAGGTTTAACAAAATGATTTTCACTTTACTTTCGAATTGTAATATAAATATTAAAATTTTATACTTAAATATATATTTCAACCATTATTTTTTACTAGAGAAAATATGTGTACGGCTGACACAAATTAAAATAAAGTTATTATACTATATAAAAACTATAGTCGGAACATATGGGTTTGAAAAAAAATCATACTTTTTATTGATGTTGTGCCCAGGCATCAAATATCTGTGTATACCTAGATACACATTATTATACACAGGAAATAAAATTTATTTTTGTAATCTATTGTTTTTCAACAAGATCATTATTATAACTTGCATATAATCTTATCTTTAAGAGAATTTACCTTTATTGTCCAAACTTCATTATTGCAGTGCAGTTCTATCACATGCATGGCACCTCTGCCTGGATAAACGTTTTCTAAAATGCATTGACCCTTATATTTTGTATCTTTAGTCGAAAATATAGCGATTTGGGAAGCCAAAACGCATTGGGAAGCGGTCAAAATAGATAATTTTTGACGGTTTGAATCACATGTTGCGTCAAAATCAAAATTTTCAATAATGATTTCTACTATTTCTGATAAAATGCTTGATAATCTTCTACCTAAAACAATGAACTATATCAATTTTATTTACATATTTGACTAAAGAAATCTATTAAATAATATCCAACAAATGGTGTACTAGTTGTTTAATCGTATTAACTAAAGTAAATCCGAAAGGGGATTTTTTACGTACACTAATAGTAGCAATATGCACACAAATTAAAACTGAACTAGTTGTAAGCAGCATTTTGCCTTGAGGCAATAAGAATTTTTCAAAAATAATCTTTATTTTTTTTACTAAAAACAAATCAATGCAAGTTTCAATTCCTATCTTTACCATCTAATTCAATTTTTTATTGGTATCTTTTAAACAAACTTATAATATCTGAAATAGCAAGGTACAAGGTATAGGAGTTTTTATAACTAAACCACTTCGTAAGCGTTGTAATTATTTTACGCTTTACGTCGTAAGCACATACAGTAGAACCTCGTTTATCCGGACCTCAGTTATACAAATTATAAGCGATTATGTACATAGCTACAATTCGAATTTTTGCACGATTAATGTTGCAGTTCAGTATAGGTATGTAATGTAATCTAAAAAAAAATAAAGATTTACGTACATAAGGAAGTTTTAATTTTTTAATAAACATTATTTTCGTTGATATCTATGTATGTTTTTGTTCTTTTTAATAAATGCACAACATCATTCTTTATACATTTAATTATCCGGATGACTATCGACAACAATTAGTCCGGTTAATCGAGGTTCTACTGTAATATCTTAGAATGTCCGTTAGAACCATGAACTCTATCCCGAAACAAAATTTCATTAAAATCGTAAAAAATATAACATTCAATTACAAAGAAACGTCCCGGCCGATCTTTGCCAAAATTAATTAGTAAGTTTCTAACTAATTTATTTCGAACTGTTTTTGAATTGTTAAAATCGGTTGAGAATGTTTAGAAAACGTGGACGAAAAGCTTTGGACTTTGCTGCTAATTCTAAAAAAACGGTTCGACAGTAACTCGCGAAAAGCTAATCAATGCGAAACCTTATTGAGTTACCTTGAATGGCTTTACGTTTTTGAAATCGGTTTTTTTGAGTATACGTCTACGAAAGGTCAGTTTTCGGCGCACATACACACAGAAGAAAAAATATAATTTTGACGAATTTTTAAAATTAAACGACTTGTCGTAGGGCCGTAATATTTTAGTATGATCTATAAGACTATGGTTCATTCAAAAAATTCATAAAAATCGTCGAAAAAAATCGGCCCCGCACGATTCCCAACCAATATCTTTCAAACAGTTTTTTAAATTTTAAAAATCGATTCAGAATTGCGGGCTAAAACGTGGACGAAAAAATTTTCACTTTTCGGCGATTTACAAAGAAACGGCTCAGCCAATCGTCGCACAGAAACGCTAGTCCTCATCGAGATACATCGAAAGGCTTTTAAATTTTTGAAATCGGCCCAGCCGTTTTTGAGAAAACGTCGATTTACGGCAAAAAATCTATTTATATACACACACACATACTTTTTTCAAATTTGGTCTCATTCGATTCAGAATGGCTTGAAACGTCAAGAAACATAAAATTAGCGAATCGAATTTTTTTATTAAAACATAAACTTCTCCTTCGGGAAGTTAAAAATAAGATTTTCCTCCGTGCAGCATATTTTATAATATTTTAGTAATAGCAATTAAATAGGATAGCGGGAATATAAGATATAAAGTAGATGTTATATTGAAAATAGAAAAATAAACAAATTATACTGAAATAGATCATTTTTGCTTTGCACCCTGATTATTATTAGTATTATACAATATTCATAACCGTTATTTTTACCTCCTGACAATCTTTTCAAAGTGTCTTCTGATCCCGCAATTCTAAAGAACTCTTTGCTAAACAGTTTCAAATCTTTTATCACTTGATCTGTTGCCCAGTCTGGCATTTTCACATCTTTGTTGGATTGCTACAAAATGGAAAAATTATTTGCACATCGAACCAACGCAAATTTATCAATTCACTGTAAATTTTAGGGTAATATAATGATTATATTATATTATATTTACCATTGATTCTAAAGTGAGAAGTGTGAGCCACAATTTTTTTGGATTCTGTATAGAATTTGCACCAAATTTTTTTACTATTGCTGCCAAAGATTTTGATTGCATACGTTTTATTGAAGCAGAAAATTCAGGTGTTTTTTTCTTTAATTCCTTGAAAAATGCTGGACATTCTTCTTTATTAAAAATTTTGTATACTGTAATTATTATAACTTTATATTAAAATTTTTCAAATTTTTATAAGGTCA